GTGTTTTACCAAAATCGCAAGAAGAATTTAACATATTAGAAAAACTCGGACTGACATACGTCTCAGGCCAATACGAAGCTACAGACTCAGGGAAATTTCACGAACAGGCATATTTCCAATTCGATAAACGCCAAACTATTACCAGTGTAAAAAAAATATTCAATCATCAAGCAATGAACTTTCCTAAATATTTAAATGGCGATTCTGATCAAAATTTAGCATATAGTCAGAAAAAATGGAATCGTTGCAAGGTTCATAAAAAAAAATGCCGTTGTGATTTCCAAGAGAAGGAAAAAATTTGTAATGTATGCAATAAAGACTGTATTGAGAAAAGAACTTTTGCACGTTGGAAAGCTTCAGAATTATCAAGTGTAGAAATTGGACCTTGGATTTTCGGGAATTATCGTTACTTAGGAACTTCTAGCGAATTAAAAAAAAGTGATGACACATTAAATGAGAAGAGATTAGAGGATATTGAGAGAATCAATCATATTATCGAAAATAATCTTACAATAGACGATATATTAAAGAACAAAAAGGAATTATTACCTTGGAGTTGGCTCAGGAGTTTAAAAGATCTTGAATACTTGATCAAAAAAGAGAAAGAGATCAGAGAAGTAAATTTAAAAAGATTCTGGAGACCATGCTGTATTTATTTATTTGGACCAGGGGGATCTGGGAAGAGTGGTTTGGTACAAAAACTGTTTAGGGAAGAACTTTACTCTAAACCTCAAAGACAAAAAAGCGGTAGTAATTGGTGGGATAACTATTCTGGTCATGAGTTAGTTTTCTTTGATGAATGGTATACTTGTTTAGCATGGAACGATATAGTTAAGCTATTGAATGATACCGATGAACGAGTTGAAATTAAAAACAAAGGTTTTGTTCCTTTTCTAGCGAAATACATCTTCATGACTTCCAGGAAAGCACCTCAAGAAGCTTTCAATTTTGGAAATGGAAATGTTGTTGATAACACATCTGTCCATAGGGGTAAGTTTTTTATTATTTATTTTATAAAATTATCTTAAATTTATTTTTTTTTATTTTTAAGATTGGGGTCAATTCGAAAGAAGATTGGATTTTATAATTCAATTTACTGGAAATTGGAGAAATGGAACCACGCAAATTCACTTTCTCAAAGGATCTGAAGAGGATTTTCGAAACATGAATTGGAAAATCGAATTTGATCGAGGTGAATTTTCAGATGATCAAATAGTTGAAAAAATTAAAACATCAGGTTTTAAAGACGGAGAAATTATTTTTGAAAATAAAAAAGTCAAATGGCATCAAAATTTTCCAGAATTTAAGAAAAAATATCTTCAAGACTACCCAAATAGCAAACCTTTATATGAATACAAATTGGAACTCGAGAATCCTGATGAAGCATCTACTGAACTTGATAATTTAGACTACGATTTTGAGATGAGTGATTATAACTCAGATGATTCAAATTACACAAAAGAGAGAAAATTGAAAAATAAAACCAACGGAAAAAGAAAAGCAGATCAATTAGAGAAAGTAGTTAAGAAAAATAAACTATAGATTTTATTAATAAACAAAGATAAAATTATACAGATTGTTTAGAAATACTGTTTTTTAGGAAAATACTGTTTAGGAAAATACTATTTAGGAAATAAAATTAATCAGTCAGAAAAATTTAAGAAATCATATTCGTCCTCTGGAAGTTTAAATTCATCTTCTGAATTATTAAGATTTTCAGTAACTGAAATCTCATGATCATCAAAATTCTCAATACTATTAACTTCCTGATTATCAAAACTCTCAGTATTGTCCACTGGAATTTTGGGATCTATATAGAGATCCTCAGAATAAACCTGTTCAGTATATAGGTTTTCATCAACTCCCTCTTGATAGAGAGGAATAAATACTTGATTCTGATAGACCCATTTGGCACATTGGAAGCTTGGGCCATAGAATGCTTCAAGCCATCTGAACTCATCAAGTAATTTGTCAATGAAATTATTCTTCTCTTTGATAACTTCTTG